AAGCTTCTTCGTTATTGTACAATGGATGAAATTGAAGTATTCCAGTAAGATGACATGTTTTACCATAAATTTTAACTGACTGACTATGCATTTATGCGATTTTAAGATTTTTAGAATTTGCTTTAATGAAATAATCAGTCAGACGTTACAGTTGATGCCATTAAAATTGCAGATGCTTTAGAATAGTTGGATACGAAGCAATTCTCTTTAAAAATCGCTTCTATTTAACAGGATGATTAAAGATATTAAAATATGTCGTTTAAAATCATTTTGAATATTAAGGGCAGAATTTATACTTTCAGTTCGTATGATCTGATGTAATTTGACAAAACTTGGAAGTTGCAACATTTACTTTGTGAAAAAGAAAAATAGTTCCTAATACGTTTTATTTGGTTGGCATTTCAAAAAAAAAAAATTGCACCAACTGAATTTGTACTGCTTACAATCTGCAAGTAATTAGGCCACTTTTTGTTTTGAGCCACATTATATTTCTAGTTCATAAACGTAGACTGTTTTGATTTTTGAAAATATTCCAAAAATACCTAATATTACGATCTTTTGTAAGCCATTAAAAAATCAAAAAGATTCATATTGGTGATTTCATAAAAGTATTGAGAAAATATTTGAACTAAATATTGTTACTTGTGACCTGGGAGTATTCTGAGCTGGATTATTTAAAATGATGAGAAATGAAAGTGAATAGTAGATTCTTCCATGTCTCAATTTTGCAGTCTCTGAAAATTGCTAAGAATTCTGGATTTCAAAAAATTTTACAACTACTGAACAATTTCTTTACCCATTATACACCGAATGCTTCTTTTTTTCCTTTTTAGTGACTGCAGAAACTGCAGTTCTGTGAAATAGAAATAGACTGCATCCGGATGCAATGCAAATTTCAAACGTTTAAAGTTTCGAAATTATTCTCATATTAAACTTTCAGATATTCCTTTATTAATTAGTCATGAATGGATACCTCGTGCAGTACATTTCACTTGGTTTTCACTGCAAAATCGTACAAATTATTTATTAAAACGAAGAGATGAGGATGCTACGGAAGAAAAAGGTTGTAGGATCGGACAAAGAGACAAAGAATTTCGGAAATGGAATTCGAGGGCGGTAGACCTTTCATTTAGGAACTACAAAATGTTGGTTGCTCAATAATATAGAAAACGACGAAACAGGGAAGAGAAAGAAATGGTGTAAAAAAATGTATTACTATTAGGGGATATAAGGTATTGGGATGGTTAGGATCGATAGTAACATAATGCAATGAAATGGTAGTGATAGTAGGCGGGAATAAAATCATTGATAGACTTTGCGAATGCTTCTTGTGCTATTCAATTATTCGCTAATGTGAAATAGTCATTCATTCTCGTTAGTTAATATATAGAATTCTTTTGAACAGTTAGGTGCCAAATCCGAAATGTCTGTGATAATTTGAAGTCAAATGAGGGGAAGTACCGACTTTTTTTGATAAAATCAGCCTAAAATGTCTTCCGTTTAGAAATCACATGAATAGAAAATTATTTTATAGAACTTTTCCATATGTTTATGTTGACCTTATCATTCTTTTTTTTTTGTCTGAAATGTACCGCCTTTCTTACTTCGAAAGTTTACTCATTAAGATTGTTGACGTATGCAGTTTATTAGAGAATATTATTGTTTTTGATTATTAGTTCAAAAAATGTATTACAGCCTCAGTAAGATTGTGTAGAAATATTTATGAATTGAATCAATACCTAACTTGAAAATTTCGCTTTTTTTAAATGAAAAATAGTGAAAAATCAATAAGCAGTTTAATTTTAATTCTTCGTTTTGGATAGATGCAGCAATTGAGCAGTTTTATTATAATTATTTGTTTATTTATCTCCTCAACACGTTGATTGAATTGGAGCAAACATATTTCAAAAATACGTTTGATTTAGAAATACTTTTACTTTTTATGACAGCAGTGATTGGATTTCAGAGATGTGTCAAAAAAAAAGAGATGTGTCAAAAGTTAACTTTATATTTTCAATTCCCTCGAGATAGTTTGCCAGAACTTTCTTAACTCCCCCGAATCTCGACAATACAAGCATCAGTGAGCATTTGCGATGGAAAATTCAAAATTTTTGAATTTCAGGTGTGCTATTTAAGGGATGCAGTTCGCACATTGGTTAGTGGTCACTATTATAGCTCAGACAGGTCTGTTAAATTTGATAAAGCTTAGCAATACTATTTCGATCGAATCATTTGGAGCAATCCTTTGTTAACTTGAACATCTTTTAAACGGAAAATGAACAAAAGCCGTCTAGTAGATAATTTCCTTTGGTTGTAGCTAAACCGCTTCAGTAATTTGAAATTTCAATTCCTCGTTCAAAGTTCAGGATTGAGCATCAGATTAACGGCCAATGATATCAGAAACATCAACAAGGCGAGAATGAATGAGAGAACGTTCGAGATAGCTAAAAATTTGCATTTAAATTGGTACATCTATGCGATTAAAGCATTACTTGGACAAGTTGGCAAGCAGATGTATCGCCAATTAACTGAAGGTTGATTGTTGGTACAACTTGAAATTTGCAGAATTTCCCTTGAGCAAATGAAATAAATTGTAACTGTTCGGGGAATTAATGCAGAAGAAAACATTACCTTGTTCTTAAAATCGTAAATGCTAATTACTAAATGGCACTTTGATTATTACCCAAATGCATCGAGATAGAAGTTGTAAGGCACAACTTGATGTGAAACGGTAGTTCGGCCAATAAATAGAAAACCTCTAGCTTCCAGCTTAATGATATATATTCGTACTGAATCACTTGCAGATAAGCAGAAAATGTTGGCTTTGTGTCTGGATCAAATCAAGGATGATCACGACCTTGTAGCTGGTGCTAAATGTTTGATACAGGCACGACATAAGGCACATTTCAGCACTTGTGGACAAGATTTTAAGCATGATCGAGGAGCTGATAAGTCATCTGATACACCGGCTTTTATTACATCCAGTGATTTTGAGGAAGAGGAGTTTCTGAAAAATCATGATTGTGAAAGAAAAAAAGTTAAAAAGTACCATAGGATGAGCACAAGGGGGAAAACTTCTTATCCCTCACATTTAGGATCTGAAAATAAGTTCTCTAAGCGAGATCCAGCCGAAGCTTCCATTCAGTTTTCGAGATTTTCTAATATTCTACATCTCACTCATGTGAAGAATTTTACTCCACATAATTTCAACACTTTCGAACATTTATCTCGTCCTATACCACTTTCTGACTCACCTAATCAACAAAAATTACGGATGTCCAGAGAGGTATACTTGAACCGATTGCTGCTACCTATTGATAGGGAATCAGGAGATATTCATTTGACGCCAAGAAAGAATTTGACAAGAAAAAATGGAAGTTTCGAAACTTCGTACTTAATTGAAAATGAAATTAGACGAACTACAAAACTTGTTGGACAGTCCTCCAATTCTTTACATTACGAGAAAGGCAAAAGTACAAGATCAAAAAGAAAAAATTCAGAAAAATCAGAATTGGTCACAAATATAAATCTTCCAGCAAAGTCCAAAAATTTTCGAAAAAGTGACGAGTATTACTCTATATTTAACAGTTCATCTGAACGAAGCGAGGAATTATATTTGGATTCTGTTCAGTCGAAAATTCGGAAAAAAAAGCTATGGCAGCGATGGCGTCGCTCTTATCGACTTATCACAAATCATGTTATGAAAAGCGACCATCTAATTGTCGATGCGAGTGATTTGCAATTTGTCACACTGTCTATATCATTCATATCATTCCAGCTTATCAGTAAAGTGACTTACAAAGGATCTCAAAAATTTTTTGGGTTATCTAAAAAACAAAAAAGTTTTCAATTTTTTTGGTAACATAAAGGTTGAATGTATTTTCAAAAAGGTTATTTTGCTAACTGTCTTATTGTTTTTAGGCGAAACAAGTTGCTAAAATGCCAGCGATGCATGATTCGACTGTTAAGAAAACTCCCATACAACAAGTAAATATTTCACATGACTAGAAACCTGACAATTGATAAAATCACAGTATAGCTGTCACTTTGCTGATTTTGATTAGTAAACACTGAAACAACAGCTTTAATTCAGGTGTCCAAATTTATTAGTGTTATGCTAAGCGGAAAAGAAACAAATGACAAATGGATAAAAACTTATGAACATATTACGGAATTAAAAAACAAATGGATCAGCAACTGGAATCAAGCAATGCAAGAGTTTACAATCTCCGACTTTTTGATCTTGTACTGGATAGCGAGAAAGGCACCAGACCGAAAGTTCGGGTATTTCCATATCTATTTGAGCATTTTAGAGAGTTAAAAGAGAGATAACAGTATAAAAATGTTTGTAATGTTTTTAAAGCAATGCAATTTATCATGAATTCCTTAAAGATTTTGAAAGACATTACTTCCAAAAATTTTTGTTTGTTCTTTTATGCAATACTGTAAAACAAAGATCTGATATTAAAAAAAAGAAGGTAAAGAGAGCGTACATTGCATAATTTAGTCAAAACATAAGAATCTCATTTCGATGGCAATCGATCTCGTGAATGGAATTAATCGGAATGGTAGAAACAAGGAGCTTAATTTCCGATTTTTGAGTCCTCGAATAATGCCTTTGATGCCTGATAAGGTTTTCTTCTTATTTTTTGAAAAGTGATTAAACATTGGGTTTCCAAAATTAATCTTTCACATAATTCCGACCAATATGAATATTTTCAGATGCAATCCCAGAAAGGTATTTTGTCCCCTTCCATCATGTCATTTTACAAGGATGACAGTCCGGACAGTATCATCTCCCTTCCTAAGGTCAATATTTTTTCCATTTATTTTAATTACTCAAATTTTAGAAATTCTCAATCATAATCTTAGTTCCAAAAAGTAATCAGTCTTCAGAATTCAAGCCTTTTTTTAATTCTGATGCTTAACTGCATGTAACCTTTGATCAATGAACAAATGAATGATTGTTTCAGTTACTAGAAAAAAGTGGTATGACGGAAAAAGAGCGGCAAGCAGTGCTAGAGATGATAATGGATGTTTCAGGAGCGCGTGTTGCTATCGGAATGGCTCTTGATATCCTCAGCGAAAGAAACGTTTTCGATCTGGACGACATGATCTTTGAGGTTAGCAATTATATACTTTTATACCAGCATAATAGAGTCTTTTTAGAACAAGAAGCATCAAAAATAGACCTGCACAATTGAAAATTCCTAAATTTTGAAATAATTTGACCTTAATTATTATTAAATATAAATTTTATCAGTGAAATAGTTTACAAAGAAGTAATACTGTTTATGTGATTGATTGTAGACAACGAAGCAAATTAATGAAGCATTCAAAGATCTGGAAAAATCCTTCAGTATCGAACAAAGGAATGATATGGAAAGCAAAGGATTCACATTCTTGCAAGCAACACAACTTAAAAAAATACTTCATCAGCAAGGTAATTTACTTTTTATCAGTCCTCTTTCAGTAATAATAAATTAAGGAGAAGAGAAGTTATTACAGGTGTGAAGAAGTTGAAAGATGTGAATTTCGATTTGGAGAAGTATGAAAAACTTAATAGAAAGGAGCAGGAAGAAGTACTATGGGAGAATATCAAACGAATTGCAGAGAATGAAACTCAGGTTGTCATTATGAGTATTTTTCCTGTATATCATTGCATGTAAAATGTATTTTAAAGTAAAAATAAGAGCGAGAATTAACGGAAGAGGTATAGACACCTTCTTGAATCGAAAGAGTCCACCCCTCAAAACATTGCTGTTTAATCGTTCCCTTTGGAAGAATATTTCACTTTAACTTTGAGCCAAATGAAGATTCCTTTCAAAAATTGAAATTAAATCCAGTTTGATTATTTTACATTTCTCCACATCTTTCGGAATGACCTTTTTTCAACAAATTTCAATCATTATTTAAAAAATGATAACTATCGGTAAAACTATTTCTTGATTCATTTGTCGGCGATAGAGATTTATTTGAATCCTTATAATATGCTCCCACAATATTACTGGTTAACAGAAGAGATGCAAAGCACAAGATAAATTGATAAGCAGTGGTAGTAATTAATTATTCAATGAATAAGCAATATGATCAATTTAACTAACAAGTCCTTATCGTCCTTATCGTCACCTTCGGGAATAGTTGATGGTCCTTTGCTAATAATAGATTTTCTTTTTTTTTTTTTTTGTT